ACAAGCAAAGGTAGAGTCACTGGCATGTAGAGCGTTGTTTTCCATTTTCCTGTCAGTATTCATGTTTACCTGTGCGCAATTTCAATCCGATCATGTTGTGCATTTACATGCATCGACGGTTTGAACAGAGGAAGTCATCAGTTTCTCTCCTGTCTCGTGTGTTTGCCTTTTGCGTCATTTATCTTTTTCAAATGGACCCACGCTGTGTTGTCGTTGTGTTGACATATAGCAGGCATTCGCAGTAAGGATAAGGTACCTGTCCATACACACTGATTCGATTGAGGTCGGTATAACCCACCTGTGTCAATTGAAAGGAAATTTTGGTCCAAAGGAGCGTTATCAGGTCATTGTGTTCACATGAAGCATTTTTATATCATTCAGACTTCCAGTTATTAGTGTCCTTGTAATCATGGCTAATGACTGAGCTGTGAGCAGATATGGAGCTAATGTGATTTATCTTACCCTTTTGAGAATAGCTGCTGAGCTCCTCTCCTATTATAAATGTATAAACACTGGACACTTCATTACATCTTGCTATTACCAGCTGGACTTCCTTTTGCTTTCAGCACTGCTGTAATTCTTTGTGGCATAGATTCAACAAGGTGCCGGAAATGTTCCTCAGAGATTTTGTTCCATATCGACATGATAGCATCACGCAGCTGCTGTAGATATTTTGGCTACACGGCTATCTAATGATGTGAACCTCTTTCACCACCATGTCCTGAATGTTTTGGGATCTAGTGGCTCTGGAGGCCATTTAAGTACAGCGATCTAATTGGTCATGGTCAAGAAACCAGTTTGAGGTGATTTGAGCTTTGTGACATGGTGTTTTATCCTTCTGCAAGCAGCCATCAGAAGATGTGGTCATAAAGGGATGGCAACAATACTCAGACAGGCTGTGGAGTGTAAGCGATGGTCACATGGTGGCCCAAAGAAAATGTCCCCTAGAGCAGGGCGACATGACCAAAAATATTTATCACGATATACATTTGAAAATTTGCGATAACGATATAACTGACGATATAATTGACACGAGACAAAATACTTTACAACTCCTCAACTGCCAAAAAACCCCAAAACATCAATGTATTTTCACTTACACAAGCAGCTTTTTTAAGTGCATTAAAGTTATATAAAAAATTTGCAGTGCAAATGCAAATTCCTTGCTGACAGTTTAACCAAAAGGCATTTCCAGTGAAAACTGGCCGACATATCCTCAGCATAACCATGTATAATATCCACAAAACTTAAAAAGAGGTTATACACACAATACGGTAATATTATGTTGAAGCGCAGTACGTATCACTCCGCGAGGCTCCTGCCTACGATAGCCGTGTTGCTCCGACAATCCATCAAGCGGTGCGGCTCCGTAGCTTAGCAAAGTCGTACTGAAACATTTGACAGATTTGCGAGCGCCGTGTACATAAAATTGTTTCGAGGTCAGTAAACACAACCAGAGTTCATACATAAGGCACACGGGATTATAAGGGGCACTGTCGATTTTCAGAAAAATCAAAGGATTGATTTTCCAAACAACACGGTAATAACGACGGCCCACTAGCATGCTCTACCAAAAATAGTGCTTTGTTGTGTATCTGACGGACGAAAGCCAAACCAGTTCCACACCACTGAAGTTGGAGCATTTTTACAAACCAATTCTGGTTCATCCGTTTCATTCAACGATCCGCTTTCGCTCTTCTCATTCTGCATCGCCGCCATGTGCGTATGTAAACAAAGGCACTGCGCATGTGCTTTTTACCCATATTCTATCGCGATATTTCATTTTCTTATCGTTGCCCAACATACACCGGTATTACCGTGAACGGTATGATATGGCCCAGCCCTAATATCCCCACAGCGCCTGAACTGGTGGTACAAGCCTGTCTCCACTCTTGTCAAGTTCTGGTGTGGCTGTGAGAGCTGTAGCCTCAGTTGCCAGTTCTTAGCTGACAAAAAGGGCACACAGTGCGGTCTTCTGCTTCAGGTTGGATGTTTTATGCATTCAGAGACTCTCTTCTGCGTACCTTGGTTGTAACGAGTGGTTATTTCAGTTACTGTTGCTTTCCTATAAAAAAACAAAACAGTTTGACTTCTGGCTCTGATAAAACACTTCCTCCACTAGATATAGTCTCGATTTTGAACCACTCTGTGTAAATCCTACTGATAGTAGATCAGCAGTTTCTGAAGTACTCAAGCCAACAACCAGGCTCATTTAAATCATCTTTCTTGCCCATTGTGATGCTCAGTTTGAACTACATGCCTAAATGCATTGAATTGCTCCTGCTGTGTATGTGTATATATCTGTGTATCCATGCTGATTCAGTGTGAAGTAACTTTGAGGGGTGGCATTATTCAGGTGAATGTATTGAAGATTATAACATAATAGCACAGTTGAATCTATGGTTTCCATCATGCTTACGTAACAGGGTGTAGTTCAGACAAACTGGGTTTCAAATAAATCTGTGTGCACAGATTTGACTTAAATGTTACAGAGGGATATGTCAGTTACACTGTGTACTTATCCAGAAATAGCACTGCTGATGTTTCCATGGCTTCAACTGTAGTGCAGCTGCAGCTGTTTTAACAAGAGAACTAATTAGAAATATCCGGCGGGTAATTACATCGCAGGGCTTCATTTAAATGATGTCCAAAATGCATCAACAGCTGTCTGCAGCGCTTCACTACTGAGTGAGCGCGTGAACAAGTGGGCAGTGGGAGGACAGGCATGGTCTCAGATAATCGGGATCCTTTTAGCCTCTGTAATTTGTGACCGTAATTAATTTAGACTGGAGAGAGCGTGAGTAGGGTCAGAACTCAGAGAAACAGGCGGGAATGTAGGAAAAATACCTCCCTCGCTGTTGTTGCTCTCTAGCAAAACACCTGAGCAGTGGAAGTTTCCAGTGGCAAATTGGCATTACATGCTGTGCAGCAGGCAGCATTAATGCGTGTACACGTGACACGGCGCGCAATCACCTTGTGAACTGGAAGGTCACAGGTCACCGATGTAGCTTTGATCAAAACTCTGTGCCAGTCACCACAACATCCCCCTTTTACTGGGAAAATCCAAAACTGTGTGTGTCATCTTCTAGCTATGCAACCACACACCTTTCTATTAAATTGCACTTCCCCAGAGGATGATTGCAGTTGAGCAACAGCTCAGACTCTGAGAGAATTTAAAAGACACGAGTGATCAGAGAGGATGTGAGGACAATTTCTTTGATAACTGCTTAGATAAACCTTTGAAGAGGCAGGAAGTGAACTTCGAATGGGGAAAGTAAAGTTAGCGTCTTGACCGCGGGCAGGCTGAGTAACGTGAGCAATAAAAGGGAAAGTATTTTAGGCCGGGAGCTCCTCACAAGTCCACGCACACACAGGCGTTGCTGAGAGACTTTTGGAGAGCAAACAATGAGGGAATAAAGGGAGAGGAAACTGAGGACGGGCTTTACGCACACTTTTCAGAAACGGATAATGTGCTCTGTTGAGCTCTCTGTTACAGCACATTTCCCTAATCCCCAAAGCCGGAGACATCCAGCTTTTTGTTTTTTGTCACACTCTGGGAAAGCTGTTTGTGTTTTAGAAGTTCTGTCTTATTGAAAATGATTAAAATGCCAGAGGATGAGAGTACATCTCCACTCTTGGCTTGACTTCCAAAACTATTTTCCATGATGACATAATTGAAGGAGTCGGCGATTAGTCATTTGATTTGTTATTTGACACAAGTGGCAGAGGCTGGGTGTGTATTTTTGGCAGCCGCACGGTTAATCATAGACACATTTACTGCAGTAGCTCGCTGTCTTTATTAATGCTTCAGTACTTCTTTAGCTGAGTTCCAGGAGGGGTAATATGGGTCTGTGCGCTCCGCCATCTCCAGGAAACTTTACACGTGGCAGACGCACACACATGATAAGACGTATCTCCCGAAGTCTGCTGGTAACCTCACTGTGTCATGAAAATCGGCCTTGTCCCGGCTGCCAGGACTTCCCGTTCTTCCTGTGGTGTGCCTGCTTCTGTGTTTTCCAAAATGGCAGGGAGAGAGATGGCTCAGTAGTGAGGTTGGGGGGCTTCAATGAAGAAAAGTGGGTTGACTGTTGAGGGGCTGCTGGAAAGGAGCCAAGGGAAGTCATTTATAACTTCGAGAGAGGAGGGACTGTTCACCGTGTGACTGCTTGTTAAGGCACGAGAGCTATGTGTCTGCAAATGCCCCTGTGAATTATAATGCTGTATGACCCCCGAATTCAATTCTGTGTGTGACCCACTGAGGGGAATCTGCTGCCAGGGGAAAATATATCATATATGTATACTAAGACGCAGACGGAGGCTGTGCGTGCGGCTCGTATTTCTATTTAGGCTGCTTGTGAATAGATGGAGTCAAGTTATGTGGAGTCCAAGCCTTACATTCATTACCACTTAGGTGTCTGTACACATGAAAAAAGGAACCAAAAAAGAAAGGACTGCTGTAAACGTTTACATTGAGATGTCCAAAAAACCTCAACATTATTAAAGCAGTGTGGGATCGTCTTGAGAGAGAACAGAACAAAAGAAGCCAACATCCATAAAAGAGCTTTGCATGTCCCTCAAGAAGCCAGGAGAGCTATTCCTGTAGACTACTTAAAGAAATGACAAGAAAGCTTGACCTAGAGAGTTCAGGCTGTATTGACTTGCATTGACTTTCGAGCTTGTTAGAATTGTACAACCTCTGTTTTTCCTTATTATACTGCACTGCATGTGTTTGCCCATCTTCCAATTTTCCAAGTGAAATAAAAATAAATGAAGGTTGGCTCACAGCTTTTGCAGACTACTGTATGTCATTTAGTTTTTTGTAGGGATGATATTTTAACCCATAAAATGCAAGAATTCTGCTGAATGAAAAGTTGAATGGCTTCATTCATTAAAGAAACTAAATGTTGCATTGAAGAAAAGTGTTTCTTTGTTTCTATATACTGTAGGTTGTAGTTCTTGGCAGGTCATATAAATTGCCACTTTGTTTCTTTGCCTTGCAGTCTGTCGGGGTACAGACATGAAGCTGGCCCTGCCCTCCAGCCTGGAAAACCACTATGAGACTCTGAGGCTGCTCTACACCGGTTGCCAGGTTGTTCATGGAAACTTGGAGATTACACACCTCCATGGAAACCCTGACCTCTCCTTCCTGCAGGTATAGTTTGAATGGAAACGCAAAGAAAATGTTAATACAGTTAATAAGCTTGGTTAGCTCCAGTGTTCCTCACCTTTGTCTCTCTTCTTCACCAGGGGATTGTGGAGGTACAGGGTTATGTACTCGTTGCTCATGTTTCTGTGAGCCTGTTGCCCTTAGACAGCCTTCGGATCATAAGAGGCAGCCAGTTGTACAACTCCAGCTACGCGCTGGCTGTGCTGGATAACACTCACGCCGGTCAGGGGCTGAGGACGCTCCGGCTACGTAGCCTCACAGGTCAGAGGTTTTCCTCAAATCCGGCGTAATTTGATGTGAGAAGTCTGGAGCTCAGACTCATTTTCTTATCCTCAGCCGCCAGCTTTAAAACACTGAAGTGTTTCACTGGAAGATTGGTCACAACAGAGGCCCGTTTCTCTCAGCATCTGTTGTCTTCTATAAGTTGTGGAGTCACTTTTATGTATTATCTGTCCTGCAGAGATCCTGCTGGGTGCAGTGTATATTTGGGGGAACCCCCAGCTGTGCTTCCCAGACCCCCAGAACATCAATTTGACGGACATCTTGGATGAGCAGAATGGCCGTGCCAAGGAACACCGACTGCAGCCTCGGCCTCCTAACTGTGAGCAGCTGACTGACTCTAATAGTGAACAAAGAGAAACATCATGCAGCGATTTGTCGATGTCATAAAGTCATTTTACATGTCAGATGTTTCCTGGTTGGGAGCATATGTTGATCTAATACCCGTGTATAGCTTTCAGCACTGATGGTGCCTTTCCACATGTGTAAAGGCGCCATCATTACGTTGAGGAGCATTATTCCAAAATCTTTCCACATTTTGAAGACACAGTTTTTTGCAGATTAGTGAACCTCAGCCCGTCTTTATTCCTGAGAAACTCCTCTCCTCTCTTTTTATATCCAGTCATGTTGCCAGTTAACCTCATTAGTTGCAAAATGTTCCTCCAGCTGTTTTTTTTTTTCTTGCTTTTCCCGCTTTTTGTTGCTCTGTCCCAATTTTTCGAGACATGTTGTTGCCACCAGCTTCAAAATATTTTTCATCAAATAGTAAAATGCCTCAGTTTAAACATTTGATGTGTTTTCTTTGTCCCACTGGGGATAAAATGTGGGTTTGTGAGATCATTGCATTCTGATTTTATTTTACATTCTAGCGCTGTGTCCCAGCAATTTTGGAAGTGGGTTTATAAATCCTAATGTGGGCAAAAATCGTTTATGTTGGTTTTGGATACTTTACATAGATTTCTTTTATAGAGTTTGACCTTCCAGCAAACGGCTCTCATGAACCGTACTGGTGCCTTACATAACCACAGATCAGCCAGCATGTCTGCATGCTCTTGAATCTTTGTCTTTCTTGTAAAATTGTGGCTCAGCTTTCCCTGGTTTTTATTCCTGGCTTTCTTCTGGTGCAGGTCCAAGTTGTTCGCCTGCATGTGGGAAAAGATGCTGGGGAGAGACTCCTCAGGATTGCCAAACTCGTGAGTTAAAATCACACACACAGTCATGTTATGTAGTTTTATGTAGACAAAAGCAGAGCAGATGAAGTTTTGCTGAAATGTTGACTGTTTGTTTTGTGTGTGTGTGTGTGTGTATGTTTAAAGTGACCCGAGCTAAATGTGCGTCTGGCTGCCAGCGATGTAAAGGTCCTCTACCCAACGACTGCTGTCACCTGCAGTGTGCAGCTGGATGCACTGGACCCAAAGACTCAGACTGTCTGGTAAACAGTCCTGTTGTTTTTGTTTTCTTATCTACAGTGTAATCTCCTTTTTTCCTTTTCCTTACTGGAGAAACATGTTTCCTCCTTCCTCCTCTCTGCAGGCTTGTCGTCACTTCAACGACAGCGGTGTATGTAAAGAGAACTGTCCACTGCCCACCACCTATGACCCCGTCACGTTTCAGTCCCAATCCAACCCACATGGGAAGTTTAACTTTGGAGCGACCTGTGTCAAGACGTGTCCTTGTAAGAGTTTGCCTTAAAAAAAAAAATCTGCTTAACCAAGAAAGCTGTCACACGCTCGCTGATTTATTTATTTTTTTAAATCCCTGCCTCCCATCTTGGACACTTTGTCTCCTGCCCTGTAGATAATTATCTGGCGTTGGAAGTGGCCTGTACTTTATCTTGCCCCCCAAACAACCAGGAAGTTGTCGTCACCCAACCTGACGGGACGGAGACGCAGAAATGTGATAAGTGTGAAGGAGACTGTCCCAAAGGTGAGGTAGTCATTCTGTTTTCTCCTGGGAAATATCATTCTGTTTACAAACACACGCACACAGTGGCAGCTTTATTAGATTTACCTGCTAATTAGTGTGAATAAAAACATCCACTTGGAAGCGGAAGATGGTTCTAGATTTGAGTTAACTCGACAAATCGGAATGAGGTTCAGTAATCTGGTCCGCCTGTCTGTTCATGTCGTTAGTTTAGCTTGTTAGTTTCTCTGTCACCTTTATAACCTTGCTAGCATAATTCTGCTGTCTCTGCTTCCTCATACCAAGCCTCCAGGATCTATGGTGCTCATTTTCATCTTCATATTTTTATTCTTGGATTCTCCTGGAGCAGCTTTGCATGATTCAATGCTCGCAATAATTTTTAGTTATTTTATAATGGACCTTTGTGCAACCGTTCAGCTCACCCACTGTCTGAAAACAAGTTGTTATGGCTCCTGTTTTTCTGATTCACTGCCCATCGTAAACAGATTTAAAGATTTGAACAGCAGGTCGGTCCGGTCTGTGTGCAGGTGACGACAGTATCCACTCTCACTGACATCATACCAAGCCAAGAGCAGAAAAACTAAGTGTTCAGAGCTGGTTGAATGTTTTTGTATACAGTACTGCTCAAAAAACTTCACATTGTCAATAAATCACCGCTGCTATTTCCAGTTTTCATAGCAAAACATAAGTAAATGAGGGGTGGCTTAAGGCTTTGTTCCTTTAATGCAGTGCAAATCTGTTTCATTCAGCAATGATCACGTCCTAGTTCATGTTGCTGGGTGATTATTAGTCATTGTTGTTGTTAAACTTTAGTCTAATTAGAAATACTGCTTCCAGAAAAGCTCTGGTTTGGTTTAACGTCTGTTGTTGTTTTGTTTTTTTTCCCCTTCCTGGTTGGTATCATAGTGTGTTTCGGCCCGAGTACAGACAACAATGGTGTCACCGACAGCAGCAGCAGCATCGCCGTAGTAACGCCTTCCAATGTGGAGGAGTTCAACAAGTGCACGAAGATTTTCGGTAGCCTGGCCTTCCGCTCTGAGAGCTTCTCATGGTGAGAGACTTTTACATTTTTAGAAACGTGTAAAATTCAGTAAAGACAACAAGCAGCTTGACACCAGAGACTTTATTCCGCCACAGCGCCACATCCCTCCCATTCAGCACTTCAAATATTTAATTTTGCAGCAACAACTTGTACACAATCCTTTTGCCGCCCGAGCCTATCCCTGCACATGTAACCAGACCGGCTTTAAACTCAAGTGTTTTTGACGTTGTGTCAACAGAGGACAAAACTGCTCCAATTTGTTTCTACACCAGTGTCATTCAAGAGCATTTCAAATAATGTAGCGAAATACCAACAGTTAATACAAAGCTTGTAGGTTTGCTTACATGACTTGTAACTTGCTGAGGTTGAGATACTACATGTTGATAAAATTCCCCGACAGCTGATTTAAGTGAACGCGTGTGTGGTTTCTGATGTATTGTTGAGGGTTGTCAATAATGAGTTAGTGTGATCTGAACCTGCACAAACAGGCTTGCATTCAGCATATTCCTCCTATTTCCTCCTGTGGATTGAATCTGTATCTCTGACTCAAGATCACCCAGACACATCGTCTCCATGACTTGTGTGGACTGGCGAAGGCATTTCTCACAAAATCCAAGCTTAACCTGGAGGAGATATTAATATTGAGGACAAACCAAGAGAAAATGAAATTGTTCCCAATAATCAAAGTGGCTTTTAAGTCTTACTTAAATCTTACGCTGTCCAGGGATCCTGCGAAGAACACCTCAGGCCTGACTTTGGAGCAGCTGAGTGCCTTCAGGACTCTGGAGGAGATCACAGGTACCACAGTGTTTGTTAAACCCTATGTGAGCTTTTTATTAAGTAACATTTTATCTGTTTCTCACACCGAAGTCTCCTCAGTTGGAATGTTTTCATCACCTCTGTGGGATCTTTAAACTTGCAGGTTATCTCTACATTGATGCCTGGCCAGAGCAGTGGACCAACCTCAGTGTGTTTGAGAACCTGAAGGTGATCAGAGGCACGATGCTCTACAAGTAAGACTTCTTAAAACTGCTCGTCTGTTGTTCTGCATGCTCTCCACTATTTCCCTTGTCATCCTGTTTGCACAATATGCCTGTTGTGTAACCATACTCAATCCACTTTACTGCAGTGTTTTGTTTTTTTTTCCCTTCTGTGGTGATTTTATTATCAGCTTTATTATCAATAAACTTACCAACGAGCTGGAAACAAACATTAGGTGTGCCTGCTAAGCGTATTTTTCTTCTCATGCAAGTGAGCACGATGGAAACGTGGATAAAAAAGTCAACTAAATGAAGAATAATAGTAAGTTTAAGTAATTTAAAGAATCAATAAACTCCACTTCACCATCCGGATCGTCTATATGTGCCTTGAACAGCTCTCCTGTAGTATTAAGATCGTTATATAGATGCAGCACGTTTAATTTTCTTTCCATGCGGTGCGTCACTACATGCCAATGTGTCCACCCAACACTGTGTCTTTGTTTGTGTTCAGTTTTTTTCGACTGTTTCTTCTTCAGTTGAGGCAGTCTGTTCATTTTCAGGGTAATAAATGCTAATTATTAGCTAGCACTGCTGCCCTGCTGGCCAGTGTCTTAAACTAGGTCACGGTTAGCACCATCTGATCACTGTGCTGGTGACGTGTGCAACGTTACGATCAATGTTCTCCAGGTGGAAGCGACCAATCACATTTTTGTGGAGCGAGTATGAGCAAGACAGGCTGTATAACACATGGTTGATGCTGAGAAAGAGTCTGTTTTAATGCAGCTTTTAGCTAAAGCTAAAAAAAATTCCAACTGACAACTGTTTTATTATTTTCGATTGAAACGAATGTCTGAAAATGTTAGCTCCACATTCACTTTTGGTTTCACACTGACCTCGGTCTCCATGGCCTCCGTTTGATCCCTTCATCCACAACAAGTGCGACTTCATGTGGACTTTGTCACTCAGCAGTTTGGCGACAGGACAGGACAAGTCATGCTTGAGTACTTTTTTCCTCCCACTTGGAAGTCTTTTTTTTTTTTTTCCTTTTACACAGTTTTACAAACATGGAACATGATGTCAGGGACTTAAACAGATTAATAACATCATCCAAAGCCATCGAATACACTGCAGGAAAATATTTCTATCAGAGCTTTTACACTTGGATTATAAGCTGTTCTGAATCTTGTTATAACAAACCCATTTTCCCCCCACTGTTAATCTCCTTGACTCTTAGTTTGAAGAGTCAAAGCCATCTTATCCATTGATTGTTCTAGGAAAAGGTCGATGTTTGGTGGTGTCTTCTGAAGCCAGCATTTTTTTTCCCCCTTTTTTACCAGCAGTCTAGAAGTCTACAGATGTTTTAAGGAATGTTTTGTGGATCCCAGGACAGAAATGTAGCATCCACTTTTACATCCAAAACCTCTGAATGGAAGGGCAGGATCAGAATATGTGGGCATGGTGTGGCATCATAAATTTCTCAATAAACTTTGTATTTTTTCCAGACTTGTACTCATCAGTGAACAACTGAATAATTCCTTATACATTCTCCATGTGGGAGAATTTTGCACTTGGATTTCTCAGGTTTTACACTGTAGGGCAGTTGTAGTGACAGTGCTGGAGCCACATTGATATGATGCTCTGCTTTGAGTCCCTCCAAAATGACCAAGATCCTTACTCTGCTCCGAAGAGCCCAAACGCTATTTGTAGGAAGCTTGTTTTCACAGAAAGATACCGGGTTACAGCTGTGTCTCTTTTGCTGTTTGCTTCTTACACTCTTCTTTATTTAAAGCTTTGTTTACCACTCTTCATCTTCTCCCTCTCCATCCATTCAGGGGTGTGTTTTCACTGGCCATCCAGAATCTGCAAATCGAGTCTCTCGGGTTGCGGTCGCTGCGCAGCGTCAGTGGAGGTTTGGTCTTGATTTACAACAACACACAGCTGTGCTACACCAACTCACTGCCATGGCAGAATCTCCTCCATCCCACCCAGGGTCCGCACCGCATCGTCAGCCACAACCAGGACCCTGCAGTCTGTGGTAAGTAAAGCCACAGGCCTTGTAGTCGTGCAGCTGTCTTAAGCATTTTTCTTTTTTCTTTTTTTTTGTGGTCTAATGCAGTAAAAAAAACTACAGGGTGAATCATGCTGCATTGTCTCTATGTTTTCAGAGAAAGAGGGGAATGTTTGTCACCCCCTTTGTAAGGCGGGCTGTTGGGGTCCGGGGCCCAGCCAGTGCGTGTCCTGCCAAACTTTCCAACGTGGCACCGAGTGTGTAGAGCAGTGTGATCTCTATCAGGGGTAAGAAGGTTTGCGTGCGTTTGTAGAGGTGTGGCAAAACTAAATCAATGCGAAAACAACTGATAATGTTCTTTAATTGTTCAGTGTACTGTTTGTTTTATTTGTAATAATTCCCAGAACTAGTTCCTCAGTAAATGTATCAGAAAAACTAATGATGTTTAGTTTTCAGATTAAAAACGTTTAATTTAACGTGTGCCTTGAAGCAATTTAGGATCTATTATCAGCGATAACGGTGTGTTTGAGTTTGATATGACGTGCATACATGCACATACAAAAGCAAATGCAAGATGGCAGAGCAAATGAGAAAACACACTGGGCTGTATACATGCGCACAAAATGAACCCAGTACAACCATTAGATGGTACATTTGCTTAGTTAGGAATTTACGTCTGCTAAGTGCCTGGAAAAAGCAGGCTTAAAGTAAAATGCTCAAACATCTAATTACAGTCTCTTTTAGTAAGACTCAAACAACAGAGGTTATTATTATTATTATTATTATTATACACTCCAAATTAAGCTAGTGATTTTGTTATTTACAACGCAACCAAATGCAAAATCATACCCTGCTCTCTTGCCTATTTTGCCTTGAATTGGATCGGATTTAAAAAGTTATCACCACACTATGGCTTGAATTTAGTCATCGCGACCATAACCTAACAAGGAAAGTAGAAATGTTATGTGTTTAGTTCCATAGAGTTTCTAAATAAAAAGATTAACAAATCTAACTGATTAAAGACATCATAGCCGTAAATACCTCTGAGGTCATTGTAGTATGGAGTGAGTGGTGTGCCCTATATATTGCTCTACAACATATAAATGCTTTTATAAAATAAAAGCAGTAATATATGGAATATTCGGGAATTCATACATACAATTTCTATCTAGGTGTTAAATTAACATGTTTAATGTTGTTTCTTCAATGTAAAGCAGAACAAAAGTGTAAAAATTTAATTATTTTGAATCTGTGATGGAAATTGTATCCTGGACTGGAAATTTACAGTCCAGCATGATGTGATGTTTGCAGAAAGTTGGCAAAAATTCATACGATACTTCATGATTGTCTATAGAAGAAGAAGAAATGTCGTTGAGCTCATCGGGTTACTTGCAGCTGGCGTCTGTTTCTGAAGTTGTGTCTTCTCAGGATGGTGTCAGATGCTTCAGATAAATGCATTTAATTTAATCCTGGGATGTTACCTTACGTGCATCTTGTGCTTGCTTTGCAGGCCCGTACGTGAATACATAGATGGATCTAAGTGTGTTGCCTGTGATCCACAGTGTCGACCCCTCAATGGCTCAGAGTCCTGCCACGGGCCGGTAAGAAACATAGACCAAAGTGTAATACGGCTAGATAGGATTTCTAACTCCTTAAACCCCCATTTGGAGCTCAAAAGTACTTGTATATGACAGTTTATTTAACCTGGAGATGTATCGTTTGTATGAATAAATACAAGTTTATGAGGTTCTGTTTTCCTTTTTCACTTTTCTCAAGATGCATGTGGCATCACTGCAGGATGCATATTCTCATTGCATAGCTTGTTTTTGATGGTGCATTGTAGAGCTGAGATTACTGAAGCATTTTTACACAGGGATAATGTTGCTTGCACCTTGCTTGCTTTAAAATAAATTATACTTTAAGCTATTTCTAATTACAAAAGTTCTTAAAGTGGTCTAATTTTAGCTTAAATTGAATCCTTTTAGCTGCTGTGGTGCTGTAAGTAGGATGTCGACGTCACACTGGGCTGTAGAAACTCTGTTATTTTTTTATGTTAAATAAAAAAAATAAACATTGTTAAATATCGCTCTGTTTGCGTCTCAGGGTGCTCAACATTGCACGGAGTGTCGGAATTTCCAGGACGGCGAGTATTGCGTGGATCGGTGTCCCAGTGGCGTCAAGGGCGATCTGCATACTGTGTGGAAATACAGCAATTCCACGGGACACTGTCTGCCATGCAAGACCAACTGCACGCCACCGTGAGTGACGCCACATTTAAGCCCCAACTCACACACACATACACAAGCACGCAGTGAGACTGACTTCACAGACGGTGCTTTTCTCTTCCAGCTGCACTGTGAAGGATGAACGAGGCTGCCCCATTGATACCAGGACAGGGTGAGCGCACTAAACAACTTATTTCCGTTAGCTTTTCTGGGAGCTGTTACAAATTGAACTTCGATTTTTATGGATGGGCGCAGCGTTAAACTTTCTGTGTCTGTGTAGACCTGGCACGTCCATCGCGGCTGCAGTGGGTGGGGTGGTGCTCTTCATTATCCTGCTGGCTCTGCTGGTCTTTTACTTGAGGAGACAGAAGAAGCTAAAGAGGAAGGAGACAATGAGGAGGATCCTGCAGGAGCACGAGGTGAGGGACGACGTGCCAAATTAAAATGTGTGTTTTGCTCTAGCGTGGAGTCTTTATCTGCTATTTTCCTCCTTCACATGCAGCTGGTGGAGCCTTTGACGCCGAGTGGTGCTTCACCCAATCAAGCTCAGATGCGTATATTGAAAGAGACCGAGCTGAAAAAACTCAGGGTGCTGGGTTCGGGGGCCTTTGGCACTGTTTACAAGGTATGGTCATCACGCACATCCGTAACCACGTTATGTGCTGTTTGTTCAGAGGGTGGTGAGCTTTGTTCGAGATGATTTTGATTACTGTTTCAGGGAATTTGGGCTCCTGATGGGGAAAATGTGAAAATCCCAGTGGCGATTAAGGTTTTGCGTGAGAACACCTCACCAAAAGCCAACAAAGAAATCCTCGATGTGAGTATAAGCCAGGCAGAAAACCTTGAGGAGTTACAGTGGACGGAAATGAAGTTCACACGCTCATTACATCTGCTCTCTCTGCTTCCAGGAGGCATATGTGATGGCGGGCGTTGCCAGCCCGTACGTGTGTCGTCTCCTGGGGATTTGTCTCACCTCTACTGTGCAGCTGGTCACTCAGCTGATGCCGTACGGCTGCCTCCTCGACTACGTCAGAGAGAACAAGGACCGCATTGGTTCGCAGTTCCTACTCAACTGGTGTGTCCAGATTGCCAAGGTACAAAAACAGGAAACAAGGTGTTGCATTTCTGTTTTCATGCTTGTACTTGTGTGACCGCTTGCAGTGATATAAGCGGAAGTATATTTTGTTCATTTCTCTCTTATCTTACTTGTCTTTTCATATTTGATGTGGTTCCAGTTTGTTTATTTGTGGACACATGTAGGGTGATGGATCTGTGTGTTGGTGTATGTGTGTGTTGGTGTAGGGGATGAGTTACCTGGAGGAGGTTCGTTTGGTCCACAGAGATTTGGCAGCCCGCAATGTCCTGGTGAAGAACCCGAATCACGTGAAGATCACCGACTTTGGTCTGGCCCGTCTGCTCGATATAGACGAGACGGAGTATCACGCCGATGGAGGGAAGGTGAGATGGAAGCTGTGACTTGCAGAGCATGTTCTCTGCGGGCGTTAAGGATTTTGTTTGTTTAAAAATGCTCTGGAAATCTGTGTTTCCAGGTGCCAATCAAATGGATGGCCTTGGAGTCTATCCTGCACAGGAAGTTTACTCACCAGAGTGATGTATGGAGCTACGGTAGGCATCAACCAGGGCTAGGAATTTTAAATTGATCCTTTTCTTATGAATAAATCATCAGAAAAATCTTATCAAATACATTGAAGTTTAAATGTGAACCAAAATAGATTTGCAAGCAAGTAAAGTAGGATTTTGATTAAAATGTGAATCCAGAAATGATGTTTGCTGTTTGAGCCGAATCATATGGGTGGGACTTGCGTATGCTGAGAGTTGTAAGAAGCATCTCCATTGGCCAGTCTTAGCACTGGTTCATGTAGATGGCTTTTGTTTAACAATCTGTGGTTTTGTAATGGCTTAAAAGGATCCAAATTAGCTGATAGAGGGACACAAAAAAATGCAATTGGCATGAATGCCTGTTCAGACATAAAGTTTTTGCCGTTACTAAGCTAGGTCTTCTCCAAAGATTCTATTCCTTGTTGGCCAGCTAAGGATTTTGCCCACAGACAGTATAAAGCGAAAAAGGCTAGACAATTAATTTTGTCAAGGGGCCACGTGGGTCTGTTGTGTAGCACCCAGTTGGCCCGGCCCTCCACAACAGTACTATTTCTCATGGACCCAGATTCTGGGTTGGAAAAATTAATGCAGTGCAAAGTCCCTTAAACCTGCAGTCTGTCTGAAGGCTATCAGATGGCAATAGCTGGTCACAAAAAGACTTCTGGTCCTGTAGAAGTCTATAGGAAAATGTAAACCGTTTCCTTCTGTTTTATGTTCTTTGTTACCCATTTCAGGTTGCATTCGATAGTCTAGGCTGTGCTAACAAGTTAGTGCTAACTAGTTGGATGAAAGATGAAATGTTTCTCCCACAGAATCAACTTTTTGGGATAGCCTAACTATTGTTTTACATCAAGCTAGTCATCTTAGCATAAGTGTGTAAAGTAGCATCTCTGCCATAAAATCTTCCGCCATGATCAGTGTTGCCAACTTAGCGACTTTGTCGCTATATTTAGCGACAAAGTCGCTAAAAAAAGACGTGAAAGCGCGTATCGCTTTTACTCTCAACAAGCAGCGGGTGCTGTAACGCAGTCAGTTCTTCTTTTACTCTTATGCTGTTTTGTGGATCACAAGGTTTAAAACTACTTATAAACACACACACAAAGTAACTCCACCAGAGTGCCTATTTCGGGTCACTTTTGCCGATCCAAGCCCGGGTAAAGGAGCAGGGTTGGAATTGTGACATTAAAAAAAACAATAATTGCTAAAAGAAATGTAATTTGTAGTTCTAAATAAACTCTAAATGCATTTAGGACGTTTTTTACTCACTTTATGTCTCTTCCACGATGTTATTTCTCTCTCCAACAACATAGGTTACAATTAGATTAGCATAACCAATTATGCAAATTAGGCGATGACGTCATTTAGCGACTTCTACCTTACTGAGGAGTTGGCAACACTGGCCATGATCCAGATACCTCAGTACTCGAATGCAGGAACTTTGAGAATGACATCACTCTTGAGTTGGCGCATTCCAGGAAAAGAGAGGAAAAACAGGACTTTTTTGGTTCTTAGCAAAGATAGAGCTGTTCAGGTATCACTAGCAATACAACATAATGCTGTTTTCTTGTAAGTAAAAAATCTTACTGTCTTCAAAGTTTTTAAACAGCTAGTTAGCACAGCCTAGAGTTATCCGTCCTAATTTCTGTTTTGTATCAAACTAGTTAGCTTAGCCATGTGTGTTGTAAGGTAGCATTTTTTCCTATATGAAACACAAAAAAAGAATCTAATAACACTAGCATTAACAATAAACTCGTCTCACATTTACATACAGGTAGTTATTACAGTCTAATGCTAAGTAGCGCTAAATAGCCTAACTTCCATTTTAAATTGAGCTAAATACATTAGCATAAAGGAGTGGGAAATTTGTAGAGTAGCATTTTGCTACATGCTACATTAAATAAAAATAAAAACACGCCTTGACATAACTGCTGTTATGATTTGGCTCTATATAAATAAAACTGTATTGATCTTCGTCGTGCTTTATTGTGGCTTGTCGGTGGTGTGAAAAGTACACTCACTGGCTAACAAGGTGTCAATCACAACAGTTAGATCTACCCTGAAATTCTCATCAAAGGGTATGATGCATGATGTCACAGTATCTTATCTGCATAAATCCAGTTGAGACTGGCCAAGAGAGGTTCTTGTATGATTGAGTGATGGTCTCACCCATAGACTAAGCTTAACAGCAATCCAAAGTATTCAACTTAAATTTTAACCATAAATATATTTCTTAAAACATTTAGAGTTCAGTGTTTCCATAGTTTTTCTGTTTTTCTTGAATGCATAATGGTTTTAAAAGTAACTTCATTCACAGATAACTTGGTTTAAATCCTTATAGGTGATTTGTATTTTAGAGTAAATGTTGCGTTGTTGTTATTTAATTGCAGGGGTAACTGTCTGGGAGCTGATGACGTTTGGCTCTAAGCCCTACGACACGATTCCAGCAAGAGATATCCCAGAGGTTTTAGAGGGGGGCGAGCGGCTTCCCCAACCCCTTATCTGCACCATTGATGTCTACATGATCATGGTCAAATGTCAGTACCTCTCACTGCAGCAGTGATTTTTGCATTTTGTCTATGTTGTGATTTTGCCAAGATTTAAGCATTTAATGTATTTCCTGGTTAAAAACTGCAAATGAATCTGACTTTTATACACGTTGTAGTTTATTTCCCCGTCTGTCAAAGGATTTAATGTTGTTGAAGTGTTCAGTTAACCATTGTTTGGTTGGCAGGTTGGATGATTGATCCTGAGAGCAGGCCGAGATTCAAAGGCCTGGTCAATGATTTTAGTGCCATGGCTAGAGATCCTACTCGCTATGTAGTTATTCAGGTATGTAAATGTTTTACTCATGCTGTTAATGTTTTACTGTGTATGTGTGTGTGCGTGTGTGTGTGAGAGAGAGCGGGACTGATAGTTATTGTGTCCATACTATAAAATTATTCATCTAAAACTGCTACTTTTTAGATGTGGTTACCTTTTAAAGAGTGACACTTTTAATTCCATCCAAATAAATAAAGATGTACATTCCTAGAATGTTTTTTATCCTATGTTGTTCTTTCATCGTCTTTCAGAATGATGAAGAGATGAGCAAGTGCAGCCCAGTGGACAGTGAGTTTTACAGGATGCTTCTGAGGGAAGATGAAAATATTGTGGAAATGATGGATCCTGAGGAGTACCTGGTGCCAAATACAAGGAAAGGGGACGAGCCCCAGGCCAATGGACTATCCAGACACCAGTCATACAGGGTCAGTGGGGTGGGAGGGGGGTGGGTAATTTTGTCTTTGTCTATTTTATATAACTATATGTATCTATATCTATCATACATAGATGGATATATGTTCTTTTTGATTGGTCCATTTGGCTTTAATCACAGACAGACAGACAGAATTTACCTGTTATGTGATGACAGTTGTACATGTTGGCCCTTACATCTCAAGTTTTACTTGATAGATCCCCTTCCACTGAGCACTATTTGGCCAGCTGTGGCATAAAATTTCCGTATTTCTATTAAATCTCAAATTTCACCAGCGCTATAACGTGTTACAGTAAATTTTCTGCATGTCAGAATGAGAAAACTATGCACGTTGATGACTTTTTCTGCTTTCTGGCAAAGCTCCATCTGCAGTGTGTCAGTTGCAGACTTTCGAGTTAATCGAGTTAATAAATATCTGAAACTGACTCTGCTCGATTATGTGCTCTGCAGCAACGTGTACCGCAGGTTCCAAATTGTGATTAATGTAGCGAACGACTTTAAGGGTAGGTGTCCTATATTCACGCAGCATTGTGGCTGCTTCTCTGTTGCTTGTAACATTATACAAAGACGCCCTTTATAGCTACGGTTTCTAGCTATTAAAATTAGAAACTGTAACTCGCTATTAAAAATAATTTAGCAGAGGCAGGGACACGCAGACCAGAGGGTGGGGAATCCCCACCCCCAGATCAGATCAGTCTAAGATAATTTTCCTAATTTATTCTGGAGTGACAGATGAGAAGTTTTTAAGAGAGTGTCCATCATTCAGCATGTGTGACATAAGAATTAAGAGTCCTGCTTTAATGTCTGTGTGTTTGAAATAACTCATGAATTGTCTGTTTAATAAACGATGAAACCGATATGAACATATATTTGAAGATTTATATATATTATATGAGCAGTAAGTACCTGATACTGTGTGAGAGTGCGACTTTTTCTGTTAACATGCTGTCATGTCGTACATTCCCAATGTCTTAAAGGGTGGTTGTTTTTCTTTCCAGCAGAGCAGAGATCATAGCTTAGATATGGACCCTTCCAACACTGCTGGGCCTCGGAACCTTCACTCCTCCCTGACTGGAATCAGCCACGCCCAGTACCCAACCTTAACAATGGGAGCGAGCGCCTCTAACAGTGTGTGGCCTCAGTATCCAATGCTGGCTCGCAGCACCTCAGCTGGAGGTCAGTCTGACTCTGTCTTCCTGGATGCACCTACAGACGGCCACTCCTTGGCACCAGCCAGCCCCGGACGCTACAGCAAAGACCCCACTTTCCCCAACGGGAGCAAGGATGATCTAGAAACTGATGGGTGGAATGGTTTTCCCCATCCTTATCTTCACCACTCACTACCCCGGCGGAGTCACGCCATTCAAAATCATCCCCTGCCAGGTGAGTCGTGGTCTTCATAAAGAAGGAAATGTCCGTAACTGATTATGTTCTGACTTTTCTTCTTCTATTCACCTTCTCAGAGTACGTCAACCAAGAAATTCAGGATCTCAGGCCAGGGTTCCCTGAGCGGCCCAGCACACTGCCTCGAAAATCCAGAATAGACCGCCGGCTTCCTAACGGCCTAAGTTCAGGTCACAGTGTGGAAAACCCAGGGTATTTGATCCCAGTGAACTCCACCTCTCCGGCCTTTGACAACCCATACTATCTGGACCTCGGGCCCAAGGCGATTCCCGGGGCTGTGGCGGGGGACGGCCCAGCAGGACTGGAAAGCAACGGAGGAGTAACCAGACATATGAACGGTTTTGTGACACCGACTGCAGAAAATCCAGAATACTTAGGATTAGCAGACACTTGGAGTGGGCATACTTGAGGATAGGGACGGTGAGACTATAAAGGAGACACAGACGGAGTCTCACTGAGGGAAACTGGAGAGTGGGAAGATGAACATTTACATAGCAAAAATAAGCGGAGCTGCGAACGTGCAACTGGAATCTTCTCACTCTGTCTGGAGAAGCAGCGGCATCCGAACTGATCGAGGTTGTCCCTAAATGCCACGTTATTAGTACCCAGTTGTAACACGCATGGACTCAACACAGTGTAGCATTCAAGTGGTGCCTGTGGCACCATTTGTATTCATGTCTTCCTCTAAACAATCTGTGACTGTTAACTGCCAAAAAGAAGTTTTTTCTTCTTTTGTAAATAACACCATAAACAAAAGAGTTCAAGAAGGTTATCATGATTGTTTTTATGGTCATCTTCTTTTAAGTTGTTTAATATCTGTAGATTTTCCAATATATGTGAAGCTTTTTTATTTTTGTGCATTTCCTTCAGTTCCCTGTGGATATGCTACTGAGTGCAGCTGAACAGTGAAGAAAGATGTATAACACTTTTGACAAAGTGAGCCGTGATGTGCGTTGAAGATGATGCTTAGTATTCTGGTCAGTTTCTCGCAGACCTGACGGGGGTCTCCAGCACTCTCAAAGCCATTTTGTTTTGGACAGAGAAGGCCCTGCAGCCCATCTGGCCTGTAGACATGCTCCCTGAAAGAAAGGCATCCTGTATGGAGAAGACAGAGGCATTGTGCCGCACTGATGTATGTGGTTGTTGGTGACCGTGGCTGTAGCTACTTTGTGGTACGAGTCATCAGCTATTGAGGTACGAGGAGACATTTTTAAGGTGCAGAAATGTCTAAAAAAATGGGAATAAGTGGTTAACTGTTCAGGGATTTTAGTTTTTCTGAGAAATATGGAGAACTACTGACTTTGAAGTCATAAAAAGAACACACTGTGTACATGTCAGACAACTCTGTGTGCACCCGCCAAGCGCAGTAAGCCTTTAGAGATTTTAGTGGCTTTTCACTGTGCAAGAAAGCTATCAGTAAATATCCCACAAGAAGTGAAGAATCTGCATAACATATAGACTAGCTGTGTGTGTTTGTGGTGTGTGTAGTGTGTGTTGGGTGTGTGTGTGTGTGTTGTGTGTGTGTGTGTGTGTGTGTGTGTGTGTGTGTGTGTGTGTGGGTGTGTGTTGTGTGTGTGCTCTGTGTGTGTGTGTGTGGGTGTGTGTGTGTGCGTGTGTGTGCGCGCGTGCGTACAAGCAATCCACTAGACCCTGGAGTGGATTCTGTGGAGGCGTTGCTTTTGAATAATCAATGCATGGCTCAAATTCCACTCACTGAGAGCTCACTGACATCCCAGTTAATAATAAGCAAGATTTTTTTTTCTCATGTTAACTGGTGTTGGGTTGAGGCGGGGGTGGGGTGGAGTGGGGTGTCAAACTGAGTCAATGGAGTCATTGTCTGACCCTCGTGTCTTCGTCCGAAAGTCATCGCTCTCCGAACTCGCGCACCCAGAGCGGCGACGTTTGAAAGGAAAGGAGTTGTTGTGGTTCACTGAGGCTTGTAATCCTGGAGCGGTCTTGAAACAAGCAGGCGAGGTCTCTCTCTCTTTTTTTTTTCTTTTTTTTTCTTCCTTCTCTGCCTAGCATACTAAACCAAACCGCATCCACCTTACAACTACTACTGAGTTTGAGGCTCTTTTCACATGTATAAACTGTCCACATAATGGCTGGAGCAGGACATCAGTGAGACTTTGTTCTGAAATGAGCACTGCCCCCTCATTCATGTCAGTTTTACTCTGAAAGTCTTTGCGGTTCTTGTTTTTTGTCTTTTATTTTGACGTTCTCATACGGGTTGTGAAGAGTTTTGTTCCAGAATAAGATCTCTATTAAATATTACGCCTGATTTTTAAACTACAGTTTCTTACACACACAAAAATGTATATACTGGATTTGTTTTAAACCCCTTAGCTATCATATTACACTAACCTGATTTAGAATTAAAGTTTTGAGTGAGTTTTTTTATTTTTTTGTGGATATACAGTGTGGTGTTTTGGAATGAAAACCTTCATAGGTGTCATTGCGGTCATGTGGAAACCTCATATCTCCACTAAAAGATCTGATTAAGGTTTATTAGGAGCGTTGGCCCTGTTGTATTTTTGTAAACCTAAACACTGATGTATACATTTGTATACAGTTCAGATTTTTAAGGAGGGCTGGAGTCTACCCCAGCTGCTGTGGAGATGGGATTGTAACCCGTGGATTGAACTCGTTCAGATCCACTGCCTGTGATAAGACTGGTGACAGGTCCAGGGTGTACCCCGCTACAACAGTCAGGATAGGCTGCAGGCCCGACCACTACCAGAATTCCATAACCAGAAGAAAATTAATGGACTTTCTGGAAGATTTGGAAAGAGTTTGTGTTTATTTTAGATATTAAAACAAAAATCCTATGAAAGCAGGAGAATATGTTTTTGTTTGTTTGTTTTTTACCAAGCCATAAGATGTGATAGCACCGCTCACAGATGTTCCTTCCTTGTTTATGAATGTATTATTTATCTGGTTGCCGTTAAACCACAATGATGGCACTCATAAATAATGAACTGTATCTGGATGACTCCGACTGCAGAATCTCTCAGATGACGAGGTGAATGTCGAAACTCAAAGCTTTTAGTCATAGTTGCTTTTCTGATTGGAAAAAGCTAAACCTACAGCACCAAATGGCAACTCAAAGCCTGTTGATAAGTGTCCAGTGCAGCTGAAGCAAGAACCTGCACGTTTCATTGACAGGTTAACCAGAAAGGAAGGAACAGCTAACTAACCAGATTGTGCTGAAGGTTTTGTAAAATTAAATATCTATCAATATACATTTGGAGAGAAATATATCTTTTGTATTTGCATTTAAGCAGATTTATCTTTCTGTTGGTCAGTAAATCAGTGGTAGCTAATTTGAATACATTGATGCTCTGCTGTGGGCAGGGAGCAGAGCAAAGTTATTTCAAGAAGAAATGGTCATTTTTTTATATGTAAATGTTTGCGTAAGGCGAAACAATAAAACATTTAGAGTGAAAAACAAGTCTCCTCTGTATCCAGTTTATTTATGGACCCACATTGAGCTGTGCAATCTGAACCAACATGTCAGAGGATCGAGAGTTAATAATAAGGGTGAAAAATGTCATTCAAACCCTTTTGTTGAAACATTGAATGCATTAAATTTGTCTATCAGCTCTAGAGATACTGAATGTTATTCACACGAGCTGTTCCTGCCACCTGGTGGTGGGGAGTGGAGCTGCTTTTGAGTCCCACGGGGACAGGGTTTAATTTTGACAAATCAGAGCATTAAAAACTGAATAATTAATGTAAATTTGAGCTGTCTAAAGCAAACGTGGCATACTGGACCTGAGGTCTGCATTTTGGACTTTTACTGGTGAGCTTACGACCAAAACTAAAACAGGATGGTAAGTTAAGATGTTTATGCATGAGATATAGTGCAGTTACTTATGAGCTAATGACCATCACCTGGCAAAATGCAAAAACATTTATATTAAATGTTTCTTTAGTGACTTTCCTTTTTCCTGGTTATGTTGAGGAAATGGAAGCATTTTGTTCACACTTTATGGCCTTCAGGAAACTTTGCATATGTTGTGGCAAAGAAAAAACAAGGCTGTTACATAGGGCTGCTCGATTATGGCAAAAATGATAATCACGATTATTTTCA